AGCGGCGCATGGCCAACGCACCAGACACGCTCCCCATGGCAGCACACGTCCGGGGCAGGGGAGGAAGCTGAGGAGCTGGTGCCTGTTGCAAGACTTTATTGGTTTCTAGACATCATCGCTGGAGGGTTCGGGCTGGAGCTGGTGCTGGGGGCTCCCGGAGCTGGGGAGGATCAGGGGTGGGGGAGCCATGGCTGCATGGGGTGCTGTGCACAGGGGAAGCCTCTATCACAGCCCGAGGCTATGGCTTCCCTGCCAGGAACAGGTGCAGGGAGGTCCATCCAGGCTAAACGCTCGCCCCGTGCCAGCTGTGCCCATGCTCCGATGTCCGGGAGCACCTGCTTGGGATCCCCTGAGGAAAGCGGAGCTGCCCCAGGGGGAAGGGAAGATCCCTGCACCGATCACGTCTCCAGAAAGGGAGGCCCCTTCCCGTGGGGGTGTCGGTGCAGCTGGCGGAGGGGAGGCTCGAAGGAAAAGTCGAGAGAGAAGCAGGTTCTGGGCCCAGTGGCAGGAGAGCTCGGCTGGAGGCAGGTCCAGGAACTAAATCACGTTGTCAAAGAGCTGCATGGACCGCATGATGTTCTCGTCCTGCAGGGAGGAGGTGGGAAGCGGGCAGGTTGGGCATGGCACAGCAATCTGCGCAGCTCCCCCCCAAACCTGGCTTTACCCTCATGGCGACTCTGACCGATGGGACAAGAGCCTCAGGGATTACAGGCGGTTTCCAAGCCCTACTGGGATGCACAGCTCTCCTCATCTGCACAGGGGTGCTGCCACAGATACAGTTCCCAAAGCAGAGCCCCAATCTTGCCCCTGGGAGCCCTGCCTTCACCCGCTCTCTGCCAGGAGGGTGATGGGGGGACAGAGGTCCCCAAGGGACAGGGAGGTGGCCCAGCCCCAGAGCAGACCCGCTGGTGGCTTTACCTTCTGGCAGGACTCCAGGAACTCTTCGATTGTCACGACGCCGTCCTTGTTTCGGTCCATTTTCTGCAGACAAGCACAACACAGGGGGCATGGCAGGGACACCCCCAGCCCCAGGGAGGGCCCAGCAGCCCCTGCCCGGGTCCGCAGGGCCTGGACACAGCACACCCCTGCCCCAGCCATCCCCAAGCACCTGGCAGGACCAGGATGGCCTTTTCTCTCCCTGGCTCCAGCACAGCCCTGCTTCATCCCCAGTGTGGGGTGTTTTCTCCTGCACCATGCCAGGTTTTGGGCACCACTGGCTCCGTGCTGGAGCTCTGCTCCCCCAGGACGTGCTCGGCTTACCTGGAAGAAGTTCTCCACATGCTCCCGGGGTGCTTCGTCCCGCATGGCCGGGTAGGTGTATTTGCCCATCATGTCGTAGATGGACTTCATGATGTCCAGCATTTCCTGGAGGGAAGGGGGTTGCAGGGTTGACATGGGGCTCTGCCTCCAGCTGGTCCCCAACCCACACCCTGTTCGTGATGCTTCCAAAGGACTTGTGGGGTGCGCTCAGGTGTGTTCCTGCCGGCTCCGCGCACGGCGTGGGGCCATGTGTGTGCCTGCATGTGTGATGGACCCCCAAAGCAGTACACCCCTCATCCACCCTCCACCCCAGAGACACACCAGTGCCAGGGGGCCAGGAGGGACCTGTTTGCAAAGCTGCGCTCATTAAATATTGACCCCTCCAGCTCTCCTCCAGACCTCAGCCAACATCCCTGAGTCCTGCCCTTGTCCCTGCTGGGTGCAGACCTGTGCTGGCCCTAGGGACCAGCCTGGACACCCCCATCCCACCTCTTTGGTGATGCAGCCGTCTTTGTTCAGGTCATAGAGGTTGAAGGCCCAGTTCAGGCGATCGTCAATGGTGCCCCGCAGGATGATGGACAGCCCAGACACGAAGTCCTGCAAGGATGGACAAGGCAGGCAGATGGGAGTTACGGTCACAAAGAGTCTCACAGACACAGAGGGCACAGCCCTGCTTGTCCCTCCCACAGAGGGGGAACTTGGCCCCAAAGCAGATGTGCCCTGGGGCTGGGCTGACAAGGGAAATTTTGAATATCAAAAAGAGCCTGGGGAAAACCTGTTGCTTGTCCCCAAATACGTCCCACACTAGTCCCTTGGGTCATGGCACCCAAGAGGACAGGGTACATCAAGACCTGCTGTTCAGCCAGAACCTGAACAATACCCGGCCGTGGCTGTGCCTGCCAGTCTGGGTACCTACAAGACACTAGCCAGAAAATACAGAAAGCCCCCTTTTTTGTTGCTTTTCTCTGTTTTTCCACTGCCTCTGGGAATTTAATAAACTCCATCAGCCCCTGCGAAGCTCTCCATCCATCTGCAACAGCAATGCTGCTCAGCCCAGCCCACGGTACCTGAAGGGATGTGCCCTCCCTGCCCCACTGCCATCCCTCCTCGGCCACAGCTCACCTCGAAGCTGACAGAGCCATCGTGGTCGGTGTCGAAGGCGTTGAAGAGGAAGGTGGCGTACGTGCTGGAGTCTGGGGGGAGGCAGACAGCGTGAGGGGCTGCTGTGTGACCCCTTGCCCGGCGGAGGCACCCATGCAGGGCATGGGGATGGGGAATGGGGATGTGCACTGACCTCCCTGCGGGAAGAACTGTGAGTAGATCTGCTTGAAGTTCTCTTCATTGACGATGCCACTTGGGCACTCCTGCCAGGGCAAGCCACATTGTCACCTCCACATTGCAGAGAGGAGCTGAGCACCCCCTTAAATTCCTGTGGCTTCCTTGCCTCACCCTCCAGCCCTGTGCTGCCTGGTGGGGTGGCTGATAAGGCTGCTTGGAGCATCTCCCTGATTTTGTGGGCTGCATCCCTCACTGGAGGGGCTCTGCATCCCAGGCACCCAGGGAGGGGGCTCTTTGCACCCAAGAGATGGAGCACAGGATCAGGCATGCCCAGTGAGCTCCCTGGAGGTGGGATCAGGCCATAGCCTGTTACAAACTTCAACCCCAAGGTTCCAAAAGCCTTTGCAACCTTTGCACCTTTGCAAACCCCAGACACCGCCAGGTGCGAAGCACCCTCCAAGGTGGACATGGCAGTGGAGGCGGGGGGCTAGCAAAGTTGGTCGAGAGGTACTCACGTTCTTGAAGCCTCGGTACAGGACCTGCAGCTCTTTGCGGGTGAACTTGGTCTGCTCTTGGAGCTGCTCCAGCCCCTCGGGGCGGTGGCAGACGGTGGAGAGCTCAAATTCATCCTCA